GCGGAAAGGAGGAGGAAACCCGTGGAAGTATAACGAGGTCACTTCCTCCGGCGGAAGCTGGCGGAAGGCTGGCGGAAGCCGGTTGCAATAAAAGATGCGACCCCAAGAGATGACCACCTGTGTTTCTTCAGCGCAGCTTGACTATACGCGCTAACTGGAGTCATCTGTTTGGTTGTCGTGACGGGCAGGTGCCGTCGCAATCATTGCTCGTGCCCTAAATGTGGTAACCTGAGCTTGGGTCGCGCCGCAGGTGCTGCGTTTAAGACATTGCGTTCAGGACATTGTGCTATTTTCGCATTCGTCGATGCATCGGCGATCCTGCGCGAGCTTCCGATTCCATACGTTCCGACCCCATCTGGGAGGCCTAGGAGATCTTTCCCTGGCTCGATTGTGAATTTGCATTTCGATGCGCATGCAACCGTGTCGACGAGAGAGGCGGAGGAGCAGCAGCAGGAGGAAGAAGGGAAGGAGGGGGAGGAGGAGGAGGTGGGGGAGGGGGAGCGGCAGAGGGGCAGGGGCAGGAAGACGAGGAGGGCGAGGGGAGAAGGCCGTTGGGGAAGGGAATCGGGAAGAAGAGGAGGAGGAGGAGAGGAGGAGGAAGAGGGGCATGAAGATGAGGAGGACGAGAAGGAGTAGGAGGAGGAGGAGTAGGAGGAGGAGGAAGGAGGAGAGGAGGAGGAGGAGGAGGAGGGGAGGGGAGGGGCAGAGGAGGAGGGGGAGGGGGCAGAGGAGGAGGGGGAGCAGAAGGAAAAGGAGGAGGAGGCCCAGAAACGAAGAGTAGCACCGTGGAGGGCCACCGCTGTCTCGACTTGGCCCTCTTCGAATAGAGATGCTTCCGGCACCGCTACCGCGCGGACGGGCCCGCCGCCGCTGGTCGGCCCAGCGCGCCACCGCCGGGCAGCCCGACGCCCGCGCCCACCGGCGCTCGCCGCTGACTGAGGGTCAACGATCGGGGGGAACGTCAGGCTTTCGAATTTTGAGGCTTTGGGTTGTCGGGCGTTTTTTCGCTCGTGCTCTTTTCGAGTCTGACGGTCAGCTGGGGTGTCATCTTATGCCATCTTGGCAAGCTTCATCTTGAAGGTCATCGTGAGCTTTCTAGGGCCCTCTCGGAGTCATTTTGGGCCACCTTAGGCGGTCTCATGGATCGCGACCCACCCACCCCTGAGCGGTGAGCAGCTCCCCAAAGGGGAAGAAGAGGTTTAGGAAACGCGTTGAACCACCTCTACCAAGAGGGCTGGTGGGAATACAGAAAGAAGCACCCATGAGACCCTGAGAAGCTGAAGAGCCCGGAGGTTGACATTTGTCCTCAGTCATCGACCACCGTCTTCTTTATATGCAGTGTCAGGGCCTCCGAAGACATGTCGACGCTGAAGATTCAATTGTCATGCTCGGACTGTACGCAGGTTTGGTTTGCCGTGATCCGCGTACACATTATTTAGGCTTCGCCAGCGCGAGGGCGGGAATGAGCGGATGCTGATCATCAGTATCATCAGGAGGAGGAGGAGGAGGCGGAGAGGAGAAGGGGAGAAGGCAGAGAATGGCGAGTGGGGTGGGACAGGGAGGAATCGGGGGAGGAAGGAGAAGGAGGAGGAGGAGGAGGAGGAGCAGGATCAGGAGCAGGAGCTGGAGTTGGAGTTGGATGAAGAAGAGTCGGTCTTCGGGTTGGGGTCAGTGTTCGTGCTCCGGTTGAGCATCGGTTAGGTTGAGTTCGGGGTTCGGGTCGTGTGAGGGTTGGTGATGCGGTGGTTGTTCGGGTCATGTTCAGATTTCGGTAATTAAGGATGGGGCGGTGGGTTGGGGTGGGGCTCGGGTTCAGGCAAGGGGGTGATTCACGACTAGTGGTGTGGCAGGTTCAGAGTAGGGGTAAGGTGTGTTTGCTGGGGTTCCCATGGTCCTCATGATATCCATCCTCGGCAGCCCTGTCCTCCTCCTGGTCCTCATGATCATTTTCCTGATGCCGATCCCCCTCCCTTGCTCGCCCCCGCCCCTCCTCCTCCTCCTCCTCCTCCTCCTCCTCCTCCTCCTCCTCCTCCTCCTCCGTCTTCCTCCTTTTTCCTCTTCCCTCCTCCTCGTCCTCCTCCTCCTCCTCCTTTCTTGATGCCGATCCCCCTCCTCGCCCCTTGCTCGGCCCCGCCTCCGAGGCGCGCCGTGGGCAGGGGCCGACTTCTAGTCCCCCCCCCCCGCCAATGTCAAGCTGCTATCTCGCCCTGCCCTGCCCACTCGGGTCTCGCGCGCAGGCATCACCCCCGAGGAGGAGGAGGAGGAGGAGGCGGAGGACGAGGAGGCGGAGGAGGAGGAGGAGGACGAGGAGGTGGAGGAGGAGGAGGAGGAGGAGGACGAGGAGGAGGAGGAGGAGGAGGAGGAGGAGTAGGAGGAGGAGGAGGAGGAGGAGGAGGAGGTGGCTCCGGAGCGCGTCCCCCCGCACTCACGAGACGCCCGCGCTGCCCGGGCGCGGCATCAGCTAGGGCCGAATTCGAGCCGAGGCGCCAGAAGGCGGCGCCGCGCCCGCCGCCGCGTTGGAGGGGCGCCCCGGTCCCTGCCAAGGCTCCAACAGGGAAGACTTCCCCCAAACTGCTCGAAGGATTGCAAAAAAACCAAGGATTGCAAAAAATGAAGGATTGCAAAAAAACGAAGGATTGCAAACAAAAACATGTTTTTTGCAATCCTTCGTAAAAGGGTTTTTTGCAATCCTGGGTTTTTTGCAATCCTTCGCTGATCCCCCTCCTTTCCGTCGTCATGTCTCTCGCCCGCCCCCGCTTATTCACCAGCACCACCGCATCAGCGTCGTCTAGTCCACCCCCCTCATCCTCCTCATTCCCGTCCTCCTCGTCGTTTTCGTTTTCTTTCTCCTCATCCTGCTTTTCGTTGTTCCAACATCTATCCTCCCCACTCCTCCTCATTCTCCTTCTCCCTCCTCATTTTGAGTCCTCCCCTTCCTCCTCTTTCTCCTCATCCTCCTCCTCCTCCTCCTCCTCCTCCTCCTCCTCCTCCTCCTCCTCCTCCTCCTCCTCCTCCTCCTCTTTCTCATCCTCCTCCGCATTATCCTATTCCTGGTCCCCCTCTCCCTCTTCCAATGCGAAGTGGATGTCATTGCCTTCTTCCAAAATGCTCCCCCCCATTGCTCATACTGTTCGTCCTCCTGCCCATCATCCATCCGTTCTCTCCTCCCCTCACTGATGGAGGAGAAGAAGGAGGGGAACCAGGGGGAGGAGGAGGTGAAGGAGGAACGGAGCATGAGAATGAGGGGAAGAGGGGGAAGGTACGTAAAAGGACGATGAGGAGGATGCGTTGCTTTTTGATCTCGAAGGTATCACCTCCTTAGTCCCGTCCCGCCGATGACAAGCTCCAGGAGAACCAGGGTGAATTATAGGGCGTACGGGCGGCGCACCCTGACAACGAAAGAAATTGCCGTGAGCAGGGCCTGCGGCAGCACCAGCTAGGGGAAGGCGCCGTCCAATTCGAAGTCGTCGAGACGTCGGAACACGACAAGGCGTACCGAGTGAGAAACGTACCAGCAATTGCTGGTCTTGCCCTTTGTCGGGATCCCTACTGCAGCCGAGCGTGACGAGGCTCAGGCAGAAACACTGTAAGAGAAAAGCCAGCCTTCCCCAGGATCACCAGGCAGATCCCGCAGAGCCCTGGGAGGAGCAGCGCAGGAGGACCGGGGCTCCTTCCTCTGCGGCTCCGTGCTGTTCACGTGAGCGACGCAAAGAAACGGGGTCGTCTGCACCGATATTGGCGCGCAAGCTGCCCGCGTAAGGTCGCGCGTAAGCGCCCTTGTCTCCACTGTGGCTTGCCGCGCCGGCGGCCCGCTTAAGCCGCGGCGTAAAGTCGCTACGTCATCCCGCATAAGACCCGTTTTGGATCGTCGCTCACATGCACATGCTCCCCCACCACCACCACCACCACCACCCTCATTCCAGAGCAGTCGGCCGCAGCGGGAGGGAGGGCCCCGGTGGGAACCTGGGCAGCCGCCTTCTCGAAGGCCGCCTGGGACCTGGGCCTCCGCCTCCTCCGCGCCCTCGCCACCGAGCGCCACCGCGGCGACGATCAACAGGCGCCTCCGCGCGCAGCTCGCCCTTGACACCGCCCGCGGGAGGCGGACTCGCGTGCAGCCCGAGCCTCTGGCCGCCGCCCGCGCGGTGCACGGTCAGGCTCTCTGCTGGCCTCGCCGCCGCCACGTGGATGCCCCGCGCGCCCGCGTGCAAAGGCCGTGATTTCGGCGGAGGGCCGCGAGCCAGGAGGGCTCCCCTCTCGCCGGCTTCGCCGGCAAGGCTTGGAGCAAAGCCTGCAGCCGCTGCGCGACCTCGTCGCTGCCGGTCAGGCTGCGTAAAGGCCATCTTGCTTGCCGCCATGCTGCCGCGGGCCCTGCGGGAGCTTCGCGATGGCGTTGTCCGCCGACCAGCGCGCCCACTCACGACCAGTCTTCCATTGCGCCGCTGAGCGCCTCGGCTCTCATTCCACGTCTTCCAGCAGCTGCAGAGAACCTCCAGCAGCCTCGACTCCAGGGCGCCACGAGCGATCGGCTTGAGCAATGGAGGGTTTCGCTCGCTGTTGAGCGGCATGATGATCATGGTGTTGGTGGTGGTGATGATGATGGTTGTGATGACGATGACGTTGGTGGTAATGATGCCGTTGATGATGACGGTGCTGTTGCTGGTATTGTTGCTGCTGTTGTTGATGATGATGTTGTTGATGATGATGCTGTTGATGATGTGCTGATGATGATTGTGATGGTGATGGTGATGGAGGATGGTCACGGTCATGCTGAGGATGATGATGACGACGACGACCGACGACGATGATGATGATGATGATGATGATTCTGAGAATCATGGTCGTGGTGATGATGCTGAAGCTGAAGCTGACGTTGATGTTGCTGCTGCTACTGCTGATGGTGATGAGGAGGAGGAAGAGGAGGAGGAGGAGGAGGAGAAGCGGGAGGAGGAGGAGAACGAAGATGACGACACACACCCTCTGCTGTTCTCTCGTTCCCTCCCGTTCCATTACCATCTCAGTTGGCATTATGTTCCTGCCCTTCCCTCTCTTCTTCTCGCTATGCGCTGCCTCCCACAATGAGTTGCAACTCTCCCGTATCCCAGGTCCTCCTGGCCTACCGCAGTATCTTCATGTTGTTCCCCTCTTTCCCTGTTATCATTAACATTCCTTCTCATCCTACTTCTTTGCTCATCCGCCGTTTATCAGTCTCCATCATTCCCGTATAATCGCCGTCGTCCCCCTCTTCTCCATCGTTTTCTTCGTCGTCCCCCCCCCGCTGGGAAAAAAACGCTCCTGCATTGCATGGTGGGGTCGAGTGGCGCCTGTCAAAAGACAGCGGGCATGCCGCCTTCCGGCCGCATGGCATTTAATGTAGCGTCAATGTAAGATGAGTTGTTCTTCATCGTCCTTCCCGTTGCTCTTTTCGCTTATCCCGTGTATCCTCCTCCATCTTGTTACCCGTACCATCCTCAGCTCCCCCTTCTCTCTTCGGTATATCCGTTATATTCATCATTATTATTATTATTATTATTAATATTATTACTATTATTATTATCATCATCCTCATCCCGTGCATCTCCATATTCCTAGTCCACCCAGTTGGCTTCGTATCCAGCTGCCTGCGGCAAACCCCTCCATCGTACCTGTGGCCTGAATTGGGGAATGCGGGCCCTCTCTGGAGCCCCTTGGGGCCTTTGTGGGCCGTCTTGAACCTCTCTTGATTGCCGACTGGGCGCCCTTGAAGCTATCTTGGAGGCATCTTAAGCTGCAGAGGGGTCCGACGAAACCCGAACAATCGAGAACGTGCCCTTGATCGCCTCTTGGAGCCCGCTTGGATTCCTCCTGGGGCCTCTTGGGGTGGTAGGAACGTGTTCGGGTTCACGGCTCGCGGCAGTTCAACGAGCGGTCTGAATTCGTTTCCGTCCGTGCGGGAGAGAGGAGGAGGATTATGATGATGACGACGAAGAGGAGGAGGAGGAGGAGGAGGGAGTGGAGAGGAAGAATTTGAAGACAACGAGTAGAAGGCCTCTTGGGCGCTTCCTGGGTGCTTCCTAGGAGCCTCCTGAGGCCCTCTTGGAAACCTCTTGAAGCCCTTCCAGCACCTCCTGGGTCGCAGGAAGCTCGTGCCCGCCTAGCGCCTTCTGAGACCGTCTTGGGGGCCTCTCTGAGCCACTTTGGCGCCCTCTTGGCGCGATTCAGGCTGTCGAGGACCCTCTTTGGAGCCTCTTGGGCGATCTTGGGGCCCTCTTGGCCGACTTGGGTTTTTTTTTGGCTGTCTTGCACACAAGGCATCACACACACACACACACGCACACACACACGCACACACACACACACACACACACACACGCACACGCACACGCACACGCACACACACACACACACACACACACTCACACACACACACACACAAGGCGTCAGGTCTTACATTCCTCTTCATTTCCTCCTCCTCCTCTTTCTCCTGGTTCCAGCCTCCGTCCGAGGCGAAAACCTTGACTCTCAACGTCAGGTCGCCAACGATTTGGTGGACTTCATCATCTCTTCCAGGAGGGTTCCCAAGCAGTTGGAGGATCAAAACCTTGACTCTCAACGTCAGGTCGCCAACGACTTGGTGGACTTCATCATCTCTTCCAGGTGGGTTCCCAAGCAGTCGGAGGATCAAAACCTTCCCCACTTCCAGGCTACAACACGCAGATTCTAGAAGAGCGGGTGGAGCCGGAGCGCGGGGGGGAGGCCGCCCTCCAACCTTGCTGCCAAGGGCAGCGTTTGAGGAACATCGAATTGGGGCTTTTACCTCAGCGTGGATTGCATTACTGCTACTACTACTACTACTACTACTACTACTACTACTACTACTACTACTACTACTACTACTACTACTACTACTACTACTACTACTACTACTGCTACTCCTGCTACTGCTACATGACTTCGGATGCTGAACAAGCCTCCAAGTCCGGCTCTCAGGCTCTTTCTGCTGCTCAATCAGAGCAGACGGGCGCAGATCACTCGTATTCTCATGTGTCTCAATAGACCACATGTTTCTGCACGTGCCCCAAGCGCCTGAGAGCGCAGATCGTTCGTGCTCCAACATCTCCCAGGAAAGTGTAGGGCTGAACGTGCGTGAGGGGTGTGTAGAATTGAGCCCTTCGTGGCCCTCGGAGCGCAGATCACTGGTATTTTCACGTGTCCCAGTCGAGTGTGCACAAGAAAATGCGGTAGGGATGGGCCGAAATGGAAGTGTCGTTGCCATGAACGTGTTGGTCACTTCTATGTTCGAAATGCGTGAGAGGTTCGCCGAAGCGAAGCTCTAGCAGCCCTGAGGGCGCATCTCACTCGTGTTTTCACGTGCCCCAGAGGCTATCACGCGCGTCGGCTTAGCGCTGGGAGCACGTTTCACCTTCGCTTTATTTGTGAGCGTCCACCAGAGAATTAATAATATCGGCCAGCGGAATGCTAATAACGGCCATCGGAACGCGGGGGGAGGCCGCGGAGTCCGCG